TGGTAGCTCACAACTGTCTGTATCTCCAGTTCCAGAGGATCCGATGCCCTTTTCTGATCTACTTGGGCACTAGGTATGCACATTGTATATATGCTTACATTCAAGCACTCATATACAGAGAAAGTCTTTATTAAAAATGTTTTGCTGGGCTACAGTCTTGTGAGACTGAGAAAGATCAATAGTTTGAGACTTGTATGGATGTCGTGGTGCATGCTTTTAATCCTTGCACGGAAGAGGCATAGACAGACAGGTTTCTATGAATTCAAGGTCAGCCTGGTCAACATAGGAAATTTCAGGCCAGCCAATGCCACATAGTGAGATCCTATTCCAACAAACAGAGTTCAAGGCTGGCCCAGACTATATACCCAGACCCCGTCTCAATAAAAGAAGCTAGAAAGACAACAGTGTCAGGAGGAGTATATAGCTTGGTACCGTACTTGCCTGTCATGCATGAAGTCCTGAGTTTCATCCCCAAGACTGCAAAAACCGGGCATGGTGACCCATACCTGTAGTGCCAGCAGTCTGGAAGCAGAGTAGGAGGGTCAGCAGCTCAAATCATCCTTGGTTTGTAGAGAACTTGAGGTAATCCTGGGCTACCTAAGACCTTTGTCTCAAAGAAAGAACAAAATATACACTTTCATACACATATTTAGGAGTATAAATTGGTACAGTTTAGCTATTGGAGGAACAACATGGCTCTACAATAGTTTTCTGTATAAACATTTGAAACATGTGTTCCTATGACCCAAAAGTTCTATTTCTAGAAATATTCATATATTTTCATATGAACACATAGAAGAAACTTCATTCCAATATTTTTTGTTATAATCAGAGCATTGGGAATGACCTAATCATCAGTTGTATAATCTCAGACAGCTACTTGGTTTCTGCTACAAATTCAAACACTTCCCTAGTCACCATGGCTCCTGTTGACTCTGAGTTAGAGTAAATGATTGATCCAGGAAATCCAGGTCCATGGTCTCACAGGCATGTGTCTCTTCTGGTTGTTAGATCACCTTGGCATGTAGGTTCATTTTCCATTTTTTACTTCTACATTTGCCTTTGTATTAAAAGTTCTTACATTTTGTGAGTGTGTGCATGCATGCATGCGTGTGTGAGATGAGAATTCAGCTTTCAGGAGTGAGTTCTCTCCTCCATGTCCACCCGAGGAGTCTTCAGGCTTGGGGGCAAGCACCTTTACTGCTGAGCTCACCGTGAAATCCTGCTCCCATGATTTCTAGTGAGAATTCTGGAACCAGGTAACCCAAAGCTGGGGGTGATTAGCTGAAAACTTGATTGAAGATTCAGAGACTTTAGACTAAAACCCAATCTCATTTTGTCCAAGTCGAGGAGCCTGTGCTGTATGCTATCTGATAAAAATTAATGCTTGGTTCCTGTGGCATTGCCCTGACAAATTCCTGTGATTTATTAAGAACAAAACGGGTTTCTGATATGTGAGTTAAATCTGTGGGAAGGAGTGAGTTACTCAGTACAGCTGCAAAGGCTCTTTGACAGAATGTCTAGCATTTATCAAGCACTGATCAGATGCTCTTGACGCAGTCATTTCATTTGAATAGATCATGAGATCCATAGAAGTTAGCTGTTAGATTATCCCAGCACTGTCTGATAGAAATATGAGCTATGAACTTAAGTTTTATAGCAGCCACATGAAAAACAAAGCATGATGTTAATATTTTTATTTAATCCATATCATCTTAACATTACCATCTATGTTGATAGAACTAGTAGTTTTACATTCTTTTTAGGGATCCCAGTTTGGCCCAGCCACATTTCAGGGGTGGCCAGGAACTACTGTGCTGTGCAGGGCAGAGCTGGACTGTAAGCCCCAGAGACAGTGTCTCTGGCCCAGCACCTGTCACGAGAACAGTTCACAGCTGTTGTCCAGTAATATTTGGACTTAGGGTGGATGAATGGATACATTTTATGTCAAATCATCTTTTCATTTTGCCTCAGTGTTTACTCCAAATGAGTTATGTTTATCACAATGATATTTTTGGTAAACTTACTTGGAACACATTCTGTGCTTCGTGTCCTCTGAGAGAGAGTCCTAGAATGTTACTGTATTCTTTTCACATTTGCCTAGAACGTAAAAACCTAAAAGTTATCTAATGGCTTCTGGAAATGAAAAAATAATAGCATTCTAGAGATTCTTAGTTCCTGTCTATTGATCTTGCAAATCCCTAGATGTATTTATAACTTGCAAAGATCATTCCACAGCCCAACACCTGTCACCTAGATCACACCCTCCCCTTCTTCCCCTTTCTTCCTTCGCTGTTGGGAATTGAAGCCAGGGCCATGCACAGGCTAAGTGCCTGCTCTTCTATTGAGCTCCATGCCATGTATCTTGGAAAAACCGTGTCAGAGTCCACAGAGCTGCACATGGTTTTGATTGTCCTTGCCACTGTTTACGCTGGCCCAAAGTTAAACTCAGGGAAGCTCTAGGACGGGGTGTGTTTTCCCAGCAGCGTCAGGTGTTGTGGGTGCTGCAGGATAAGTGTGCACTGTTTGCCTCTGAGGCACTTTTACTCTGTTTGCATTAGAAAAACAAACATGAGATGAGCCGAGAAGAGTTAACTAGTTCATTCTCTACATTGGTCAGTGTTTTCTGTGAGCCTTCCTTAGGCTTGGTTATAGAAAAGTGAGTGCACATACATTTCTCTTCCCTCAGATAGCTCACCGCCACCTGGAAAGATACACGAATAAACCAGTGAACATTTAAAAACAGCAAATCTGTGGGGATACAGTGATACTATCCCCAGCTCGATGTGAGGATTCAGTGAAGGACAGTGGCTTGCACAAGGTACTGGTTGAAAGAACCTATATTCAACCTAGATGTCATGGGAGCCCTTGCTCACTCTTGCACACTCACTCTCCTGTGTTTCCAGTGTGCCAGAAGGAAACTCAGTTCTTCACTCACATTAGATCACAGCTCATTTGTAAATTTGCTAGCTGATTCTAGGTGCCTGGTATTACACTCATATTTATGAAGTTACACTGCTTCCATCTGATAACTGTTCAGTCTGCCCTAACATTTGAGTAGGAGGCTGCTGAACCTGAAGAGCCCTAAAAAAGGCTGCATGGAGTAGACTTGGAAGCGTTTCTTCCGCTGGACACTTAAAGGGTAGGTGGGCTAGGCCAAGGTCAAAGGAAGGACTCTAGGCCTGCTGACCAGGAGGCTAACTCAGCCTAGAGAGTAAGTGGAGGGCTCTGAGATGCTTGACCCAGGCCCTTAAGAAACCCGCTGACAGTGCCTTGCACACAGACTGACATGGGCCAGAGTAACTAAGAGATTCAGTGTTGCTTTGTTTTTCGGTTGCTCTAGTTCTGTGCATATTGTTTCAAGTCTTGTTCTAAAGTATACCTTAGAAGGTGGGATTTTGCTTAAAAAAACATGAAAGGCCTTATTAGGTTGGTAATAGATACTTATTAGTAAAGCATATTTATTGGGGTCTAGCAGTGTCCTAAGGATTAATGAACTAGTATCAGTAGCACATGAAAATAGAGATGTTTTTAGGGTTATAGCAAATATAGTTTTGTCTTAGTCCATATCATATTTTATCTTGTTTGGTTCTATAACTATTCAAGGATTTCTGTAGACTGGTATAAGAAGTCATGAGGATAATAGAAATATAAAGTAGTGGGCTTTTTTTCCATCCTTTAAAATGATATCAAAATAATTTTAAATGAACCAGTATATGTGTATATAATTTAATCATTTATTTATTATATACTGGGGATTAAGGGCCTTGACTATGCTAGGCAAGTACTCTACCCACTTGAGCTGCACCACCAATCTTATCTTTCCTTCCTTCCTTCCTTCCTTCCTTCCTTCCTCCCTCCCTCCCTCCCTCCCTCCCTCCCTTTGTCCCTCCCTCCCTCCCTCCGTCTCTATCTATCTATCTATCTATCTATCTATCTATCTATCTATCTATCTATCTATCTATCTATTTTTTTTAATTTTGAGCAGACCAGGTTATCTCTAAATTGCCCGGGCTGGTCCTTAACTTATGTGCTGAGCCCAGGCAGACATTGAAATTATGGTTTTCCTGATTCAGTCCCCTGAGTAGCTTAGATCACAATTAAAACCGGCTTATGCCGCAAGGCCTGGCTAGTTAATGCAATTGAAAATATAGAAAGATTCTGTGGCTGTAGCTCAGTGGTGGAATGATTGCCAGTCGTGAGCAAGGCAGCTTTCGTTTCTGGTATCATAAAGAACAGAAATTTTTAAATCTAGAACTTGCCTCTTTCCTGTTTGCCAAGTTTTACTTTTTTTGTGGTCCTGGGGTCCTATCCAGGATCTTTACCAAGCCTTGGAGTCTCAGAGGTCAGGGCTTAGTTCCATTTTGAAATTTTTGACCATTTTGAATTAAATGTTTTTTCATAAATAGCTTTTCTTAGTAATAACTTTAAACAGAATATAGGATTTTTGGGATAAATGCAAGGTTTTCTTTGAAAAGTTTTGGAATGGTATTCAGAGAATTAATTTTTCTCTGATCACATAAGGACCAGTTTTCTTTTTAAATGTATGCTTACATGTTTGTGTTTATTTAGGCATGACTCATTCATGTTTGTGGTTGCTTTCTCCAGTAGTCACAGTTTAATCCAGATTGCCTGTGCTCTCCCCTAAATAGTAAGAAAATCTGTCCTCTGCCCTCTTAGTCTCTGAAGTAGTGTAGGCCTCTCCTCTTCCTTTTCTTGAATTCCACATTGTCAGCCATTTCCTTGAGTTTACCATGCTGTGTCACCTCTCTTGGGGAAAAATCTCTCTTAGTCTTTGAAATTTAGAAATCATGAAATAAAAGCAGAGACTAGCTCCTTAAATCCTAAGTAGTCTGTATGAGTGTATAAAATAACCTAAGTAAATGACATTTTGTGTTAAGAATCCCTCCTGACTTATAAAGTTCAAATGGTTGTTACTAATTTTGTTTATGCTCTTCACCTATGGGCCATTTTTGGAACACCATGCTCTTCTTCCATAGGCCACAGACCTCCCCCAGCACGCAGTGGACATCGTTGTGTGGCAGATAATACCAATCTCTATGTGTTTGGAGGGTATAACCCAGACTATGATGAGTCGGGAGGGCCGGATAATGAAGACTATCCTCTCTTCAGGGAGCTTTGGAGGTATCATTTTGCAACAGGCGTGTGGCACCAGATGGGCACAGATGGCTACATGCCCCGGGAACTGGCATCTATGTCACGTAAGTGCCAGCAGTTGTGACATTTTAACTCTGTGAACCAACTGAAATATCAGGTTTAGTGTCACTTGTTCCCTGTTAGTAATTTACACTATTGAAGCATGAGTAAGTGTTGTCACGAATAGGCATTTCACTGTGATGATAATATAGTGTGGTGGCTTTGAAACCCTGAGTTCCTGGGTTTGAATCTAACTGTAAGTACTGGATTGCCAGATGAGTTTTAACTTTATTTGTCTATAAAGTAAGATTAGCAATGTCTCAGAGGGTTCAGTATAAAGTATTATATATGTTAGGAAAAATGTAGTCAAAATGAAACAATGGAGCTGTAACTATGATAGTTAATAGCTGTTAAGTGAAGGACTTCACTTCCTTACAGCATCACTATGTTGAGTTTCTACAGTGACTTCCACTGTACTAATGAAGAACCCAAGGTTTCATAAAGGCCCCGAGAACAATGGCTAAGAGTGCATGCTCTGAAGCCAGAGTGACCAGGATTGAATCCCAGCTCTTTTTAGGAAACCATCAGCAAGTTTTTAAACTGTTCTTACCAGGCATGGTAGTTCATGCCTATAATCCTAACACTTGAGAGGCTGAGACAGAAGGATTACAGTGAGTTCAAGGCTAGCCTGGGTTAAGTAGCAAGACCTTATTTCCTGAAGACAAATAAACAGAGGAATTAAAACACAAATATTTGCTATTTCTGTTTGTGTTTATCATCTTTAAAAGTGGAGGTTGGGCTCATTGCTTAGTGGTAGAGTGTACCAAGTTATGGATTCAAACAGCACAGAGAGGGAGACAGAAGAAAGAGAAGAAAATAACATTTACAGTTCCGACTTAATAGGGTTGTTAACTAGTTTCCCTGAAGTCACACTAAAATTAATTCCAATTCTTAACAGCACTACAGTGCAGACTGTTAACCTCTAGGTGCAGACTGTTAACCGCTAGGTGCAGACTGTTAACCACTAGGTGCAGACTGTTACCCACTGCATTGTAGACTGTTGACCACTATGGTACAGACTGTTAACCACTAGGTGCAGACTGTTAACCACTAGGTGCAGACTGTTAAGCACTGCAGTGTAGACTGTTGACCACTATGGTACAGATTGTTAACCACTGCAGTACAGACTGTTACCCACTGCTGTGTAGACTGTTGACCGCTATGGTGTGTGAAGTTGGGGAACTACTGAAGGAAGGAGGAAAGAAAGAAGGGAAGATTGTGTAAATTATGGCAAACAAAATAGACAAAGATAGAATACCAAACTTGTCTGCAGGATATTGGTGTTTCTTTTTATCTGGTGGAGGATTAAACTGACAGAAACCATAGTTTAAAATATAAAGATTATTCCTCTGACAGAAAATGACCCTTTGATTCCTTCATCTGAGTCTTACAGGTTCTTTTCCAGGGCAAAGATGATAGATTGTTTTCCTCTGGCTGGCTATGTATTTGTCTTGAGCAGCAGTGGTATTCTGTAGTTCATAGGCTTGACATTGCTATACACTGTTGTATTTCATGAAATGCTCTAGAGCATTTTGGCTATGTATCATACATCTACCAGTGAGCATGTGAGATAATCCTTCAGTACATATGAACTAAGCCATGTTCTGAAGAATCCTTAAGATCATTAAAGAAGACATGTTTGAGCTTTTCAGATGGTCTGGGTTCGTGGGCAGACACTGTAGGAAGCAGTTGCATAAGTAGAATGTGTGTGTCTTCCTCCCCAGTTGTGCTGCACGGAAACAACCTGTTAGTGTTTGGAGGTACAGGCATCCCATTTGGTGAGAGCAACGGCAATGACGTCCATGTCTGTAACGTGAAGTACAAGAGATGGGCTTTACTCAGCTGTCGGGGAAAGAGACCCAGTCGTATATATGGACAGGTACTAGTCTGTGGCTAATTAATGGTGAATGTGCTTATTTTCATATTGTTCTAGTCCAGCAGCAGTGTCAGAATACAGTGCTACATTTGTTTTAATGGAGATTGAAAGTCAATTTGTAAATCTTACCATTCCCTCTCTCGATTTCACCATTCTTTGCTGGGAGAGGTGAGAGAAGGATGAGAGAGAGAATTTTTTATGCCTTTGCTAGGGGACGGCCTCAGGTATTGTTCCTTAGGAACTGTGTTCACCTTTTATCTCTCCTTTCTTTTTTGAGACAGTCTCTGGGATCTGGAACTTGCTGATGAGGCTGGACTGCCTGGCCAGTGAGCTCCAGGGATCGGCCTGACCTTGCCTCCCCAGTGCAGCTTTTATGAGTTTTGTTTGTTGTTTTACATGGTGTGGGAATTTTACCCGCCAAGCCATCTTCCCCGTGCCCTTATTTGCTTCTAATTCAATCTTAAGGTTAGGAGATAAATCTATGTAGAAACGCCTTTAACTGCACCAACCCCTAGTGCAAGACTGAGCTTTAGCATGGTCTGAGTCTGCTCTGATTCTGCCAAGAACTTTATTTCCTAAGAAGCGTACGGAGCTCATCAAGAGATTCAACACAGAGCTGAACTAAAACATCTAGAGACTTCAAAGTCAGTTTAACCTTTGCTATTGGTTTGTATGGTTTGCTTGGTTTCGTTTTTTGAGACCGATTTCTCTGTGTAGCTGTGGCTGGCCTGGAACTCATCTGTAGACCAAGCTGGCCTCAACTCAGAGATCCATCTCCCTCTGCCTTCCGAGTGCTGGGACAAAAGGTGTGTGCCACCACCGCCTGGCTTAATCTTTGATTTGTAAAGTTATATCCAGAAAGATAGTGGGTTATCCACCCAATCAGACTTTTGAGACCATTGGCTGAACTTGGAATAACCACCATTTGATATCAGGCTCAACTGTCTTGCACACAGGCGTGATTAAACACTTCTGAGCTCGAAATCTGAAGGAACTCTTTCCAGCCCACTCTATCAAACTGCGGGCCACTCAAGCTCCAAGAAGTAACTGTGGCAGTGACTGGAGAGGAGTCTGATGGAAATACCAGCTCTAGGCGCCAGACTTCTATGGCAGTTCCCAATTGGTGTTGCTTCTTGGGAGTGTTTTTCTTCAGACTGCTTAGGAAGATAGATGGCTTTTAGTGGAAATGCTCCTGTCCGTGGTCCTACATTCTTGACTCTAAGATAATCACCTAACAGATACCTTTCTAGGTAGAACCAGCAAAGCTTTACTTTGTAAAGGCAAAAGTAAAATAGCCCCTAGGTTTTAGGAAAAGGTGTAGTCATCCATTCATAGACAAGGTTGCACATGCAGCGTGGCCTTTCCTTGGCCTTATGCAAATGTCAGATTACCTGCTGTAGGGGATGATTTTTTTTTAATCTTTAAATTTATTATTAATTATTATTATTATTAGTGTGTGTATGTGTAAGAGTGTGCATATACAGACGTGCCACAGCTCCAGGGTACAGGTCAGAGAACTGGGTTCTGGGTATGAATCAGAGTCAGGCTTACATGGCTAGCACTTTTACCCACTGGGTCATCTTGCCAGCTCTTTAACTTTTAATTTTTGAGATTTTTGGTGGGGTCTTTTGGTTTTGAGTTTTTTTTTGTTTTGTTTTTAAGGTCTCATTTTGTAGCTCAGCCTCAGACTTTTTTCTGATCTTGCCTCAGGCTCCTGAGTACTAGGATTATAAGCAAGTACCTTCATACCTGAGACAAAGTCTGATACTTTATTTTATTTTTAGATTTAGTTTGTATGTATGCATGTTTTGCCTGCATGTGTGTGTGCTATGTCTATGCTTAGTGCCCATGAAGGTCAGAAGAGGGTGTTGGATCTCCTGGAACTGGAATTACGGGATGGTTTGAACGACCATGTAGGTACTGGGAACAGAACTCAAGTGCTCTTAACTGCTGAGCCTTTGCTCCAGCTCTGATATTTTAGTTTTATTTATGTGGTGTGGTGCACAGGTGCCTGGAGAGCTGACGTTACAGGTGGTTGGGAGCTGCCCAACAAGGGTACAGGGAACTGACTCCAGTTCTTGGGAGAACAGAAAGGGTTAAAAAGAAGAGAAACTGGGCAACAGTGGTATATGCCTTTAATCCCAGTACTCGGGAGGCGGAGGCAGGCCTCTCTGTGGTTCGTGGCCACTCGCATCTTCAGAGCAAGTTCCAGGACAACAGCACTATACAGAAAAAAACAAAAACAAAGCAGTACAAACAAACAAACAAACAAAAAAAACCAAAACCAGAACAAAAAGTGAGAGAGAGAGAATTTGATAAACATGGTGTGGGGCATTGCTAAGTTTGTGTTCTGTAAGTGTTAAGGAGTCATTCTTATTCGCCCTCTTTCTACAGGCCATGGCCCTCATCAATGGTTCCCTTTATGTCTTTGGGGGAACAACTGGCTACATCTACAGCACAGACCTGCACAAGTTAGATCTCAATACCATGGTGTGGACACAACTCAAACCAAACAACCTGTCCTGTGATCTGCCAGAGGAGAGGTGAGCTGCTGGGGCTGAGCACTCTGGTCTTTCCCGCTCAGACTGAGCTCTTTCAGCACCTGACAACATGAAGGAAAAACCCCTTGATAAGGCAGCTAACGGGCACATGGGTCCAGATCAGTGGTAAAGAAGGGGCTATTGTGAGAATACAGTGTTTCCTCTAGTTGTGGAGTTTTTAAAATCTTTTTCTCTTGTACTTCTTAATCTTTCAGTAGTAAGAAGCTAATAATGTGTTGAAAGGAACCAATGGTAGCAGTTACCAATAAAAGTCAGTGAGTGGCCGGGTGGTGGTGGCGCACGCCTTTAATCCCAGCACTCGGGAGGCAGATGCAGGCGGATCTCGGATCTCTGTGAGTTCAAGGCCAGCCTGGTCTACAAGAGCGAGTTCCAGGACAGGCTCCAAAGCTACAGAGAACCCCTGTCTGGAAAAACTTTAAAAAAAAAAAAAGTCAGTGAGGGTCAGTGACTGTTGATGAGAAGGAAGGACAGATGGGACGATAGGATGACGGACAGAGGCTGGGTGGCATGGTCATTCATTCCATTGCCTCGGAAACATCCTAGCAGCATCATACTGCTCTCCTGTTGTTTTCTACCAAAGGCCCCAGATCTTTCATGGTTCTTTCCATAGGAATAGTTACCTCTTAGAATTAAACTTAATGGCCGGGCGGTAGTGGCGCCTGCCTTTAATCCCAGCACTTGGGAGGGAGAGGCCAGCCTGATCTATAGAGTGAGTTACAGGACAGGCTCCAAAGCTACAGAGAAACCCTGTCTTGAAAAAAAATAAAAACGAATGCAACATATCTTTGCATCATTAAACAAATATAACACATCTTTAACTAATATTCTACAACAGGATTCATTTCTCTCTTCTGGTGTGCAGAGTACATGCAGACAAAACACCCATATGTATTAAATACAAAAATAAATAAACCTTTTTTTAAGAATTCCAATTCTAAGAGAGCCTGTATTATTCAGAGTTCTTTAGAGGAACAGAAATAATAGAATAATAAAGGATTATTAGAATAGCTTACAAGCTATGGTCCAGCTAGTCCAACAATAGCTTTTTGCCAATGCCAAGTCCATGAATCCAGTAGTTGTTCAGGCCACAAGGCTGGATGTCTTAGCTGGTCTTCAGTATACACCAGAATCCTGAAGAAGTAGACTCTCATGCCAGTGAAAGAATGGGCTTTCCAGTAAGAGCAAGCAGGCAAAGAGAGAGTAAGCTTCCTTCTTCCATGTTATTTATATAGGCTGCCAGCAGAAGGTGAGGCTTAGATTAAAGGTAGATCTATCTTCCCACCTCAAAAGATCTGGATTAAAGTTGTGTCTTCCCACTTCAAATGCTTTATTTAAGAAAAAAAATCCCTGCTGGAGAGATGGCTCAGCCTCTTCCAGAGGTCCTGAGTTCAATTCCCAGCACCCATATGGTGGCTCACAACCATCTGTAATGAGATCTGGTGCCCTCTTCTGGTTCTGGTGTGTACATGCCAGCAGAACATTGTATGCTTAATAAATAAAAACCTCTTAAAAAAAAAAAAAAGAAGAAGAAGAAGAAAATCCCCTGCTGGGCAGTGGTGGCACACACCTCTAATCCCAGCACCTAAGCAGAGGCAGGTGGATCTCTGGGAGTTTGAGACCAGCCTGGTTGATAAAGTCAGTTCCAGGACTGCCAGGGCTACATAGAGAAGCCCTATCTCGGAAAATAAAACGAAAGGGAAAAAACAGTTTACTGAGCCACTTGGTTTTAGTTAAGTCCAGATGTAGTCAAGCTGACTAACAAGAATGGCCATCACAGCATTTTTCTTGGAGGGGAAGAAGTTTCACTTGTAGCTCAATTGCCTAGATGGAAGTTCTAGAGGGTGTACACGCAATTTCCTGCAAAATAATAAGTATCTTAACTTAAGAACTCATAGTGTGGGGCTGGAGAGATGGCTCAGTGGTTAAGAGTACCGCCTGCGCGTCTAAAGGTCCTGAGTTCAATTCCCAGCAACCACATGGTGGCTTACAACCATATGTAATGAGGTCTGGTGCCCTCTTCTGGCCTGCAGGCATGCATGTAGGCAGAACACTGTATACATAATAAATAAATAAATCTTTTTTAAAAAAAGATCCAAATGAGGAGCAGAAGGAGGGAGAACATGAGCAAGGAAGTCAGGATCACGAGGGGTGCACTCACCCACTGTGACAGTGGAACTGATCTATT